CATGTCCTTAACTTCAGCTGCCAAGTCTCTGCCAAGGTCACAAACTTATCTCCTCTAAACTGAGAACAGCACATCCTACTGCCTTCTTGACCTCTTCAATCTTATGCCAAAGCCCCCACCCCCCCCCCACCCCAGAAGGCCCCGGGGCCAGGGCTCCTGTCTGCCTGTACCAGCATCTGGCCAGCAGCCCCTCCCCAGGTCCCCAGGACAGCGGCTGCCTGCCCCTGTGCCCAGCTACCCGGCTGAGCCACCAGTAGCCACAGGCTGCCCACGCTTTCCCCATCCACCTTGCCCACGGCCATCCTGCCCATCTTGCGTAGGCCAGCATCTCAGGCCTACACCACAGCAACAGCCCCCCAGCAGGGCTCCCCGGTCCCTGCACTCTGGTTTGCAGTCTCATCCAGTCCTCATCGCTGTCACCAACAGGGTCTCTCAAACACATCTCACACTGCTGCAGGCACTCACGGCTTGCTCTTGCTTTTAGGATAAGTTTCCAGTGGCTCCTGTGGCTCCGGGGGCCCGTGGTTCTCAGCCAGTGCCTTTTGCAGGTTTATCTTGCACGTGGCTCCCACTGAGCCATCACACAAGCAGTGGACTCTTTCTAGTTGTCTGGATGCTCCTGACTGCCTCCCACCCAAGTGCCTTTGAATGCACATGTGCCGCTGCTGGGAAGGCCGCTCCGGAGCCAGCCAGCAGGACGGTGTGCATCTGGCTCCGCACCGTGTCTGTCCCCAGTGCCAGCACAGGTGGTGTTTCTCCAGGGGAGTTCCCTCTCCTTTCCAGTCATGTTCTGCCGTCCAGCAGGCTGTGAGCTCCTGCAGGGCAGGGCCCAGGCCCTCAGCCAGCAGCGGCTCAGCAGATCCTAGCATCTGGAATAGTTTGGGTGCAGACCGAGGTTGGCCAGGGAAGCACCAAGGGGCCTCTGAGAACAGCACTGAGTTACCACCCACGCTTCACGTCTCAGCGAACACAGGCGCTCGAGCTCCACCAGGGCTGGCTGTGTGGCCTGGGCCCAGATCTGCACCTCTCTGGGCTTTCACTGACTGTCATGTTTGGGCTCGTGAGCTGGTGGCTCAGTCTCCGATTCCACACTAGTAAATGCTCTGATCTTGGAAAGAAGACTGGGGTCTGGAGAGCCCACTTGTAGAAGCCTCTGGACAGAGTTGAACGGTTCTGAGGCTGTGGAGGAGGAACATGTGGGGCGGGCTCATGGTCCATGAAACCCCCCTTTCCTGCTCCTGCTGCAAATGGGAGGTGACCATAATAAGCCCCACCCTCCACTCCCTGTTCTTCCCACACCCCTGACTGTTAGCCCTCACCTCTGGGGAGCAGCCCAGAAACCTCCAAGGTCATTGTCATAACAGGTGAGTGGCAGCAGTAAATGGAGGCCTTGGCCTCTCAGAGGGGTGAGCACTACCAGCGATGCCTTTATTCCTTATCCAGGACTGGGGTGATCACTTTTATTTTACAGTGGGGTAAACTGAGGCACAGAAGGGGGGAGGTCATGAGCAACGGAGTTGGCCCCATCTGAGGTCATTGCTCAGGGAGATACTGATTGATAAACCAAGATCAGCTGTGTGCAGGGGCAGACGCACTGGGCAGAGCCCTGGGAGTGGAGTCCGGAGACTCAGGTCCTAGATGCCCTGATTCAGTGCGGTGACCTGGGCAAGTCCCTCTGCTTCTCTGTGTCCATGATTCTTAGCTGCCTGCTGAGAGCAGAGCAAAGGATCAGGCCAAGCTGGCACAGCACGGGGAGAGCATTAGGATGGTGGTCTCAGCTCCTAGAGCTCCAAGAGGGGACGCTGGGCCCTCTGGGCAGCCCCACTGCTCTTATGATAACCTGCCCAGTGTGGGTGGGGCCTCTTTCACTCCCCCGGTCACTGATCAGGACAGAGGTGGGCTATTCTTACCAGGAAGCGGGGGCTAGGGGCTGAGGAGGGATCAGAGGAAGGAGCCCACTCCCCGCCCCTGAAGCTGCCAGCTTTTTAGAACTTGGCTCAGGTACCCCTGGGCACGGCTGGCATTCTTTTGTGCAGGGTGTTGTCATCCCTGGGCATCCCTGGGTGACAGACTCCCCACAGTGCCTAATGTCACCCCTCTGCCCACGCCAGCACCTCTGCTGCTCAGAGCTCAGGGGTCCTTCTGTCCCATGCACTAATTGGAGATGCGCACCAAGATGGCCAGGCCTGTGCAGGGGAGAGCAAGCCGGGACACTGGTCGTCTTTCCCACCTGAGCCTGTGACGCTCAGACTGCTAGCCCAGGCCCTCCTGCAGCACCACAAGCAGCCAGGACCCTCCTCTCCCGGGCTTCACCCCTGCTCTGACGCCCACCTGCTGGGGCACTCTCTTCCTGCTTTTACTTTGTACACAGTAGGGAGAACAGGTGTGGAGTTCAGGGGGCACCATTGCAGGGCTGGGCCTCTGGGGAGCTCCGCATGGGCATTCATTAAATAAATCTGCAGCGTGGCAACTGCCCACCTCGTGCAGGCGGAGCCAGAAGGTGCCGGCCAGCTGGGAGAGGTGTGTGCTGGATGCTCCAGGAACCCAACCAGACCGGCTCCGACAGGCTGTGGCAGCGCGAGGGCGCTTGTCACAGTCACCACCCTGTCCATGCCCACAGCCCACGTGTGCACTCACAGCCTGGCTGCCCACAAACACGAGTGTGCATAGAAGTTTGTCTTCCAGCCCCCCCCTCCCATTTCAGGGGAACAGCCTGAGGCTGAGAAGGGAGAAGGGACCTAGGGGAAGAGAGAGAGGCAGGGGCAGAACCAGAACAGCGCACGGGCACCGGCTGCCCACACGGTGGCGTGGGGACCACCACTCACATGGTGCCCCTGCAAAAAGGAACGGCACCCACCTCCAGCCCAGCTGGACCCCCAGCGGGGCGACCCGGAACCAGCCAGACCCAGGCATTGCACCCCTCCCCCGCGCGCTGGCGCGGCCCCTCGGCCTCCCCTAACCTGGGCGCGGGGCCGGCTGGGCCGGGGCCATTATGCGGGCGCATGGCCGGCCGCGCCGGGGCGCAGAGCAAACTTAACCTTCATTTGGGAGCGCCCAGCGGCCGGAGCGCGCGGCGCAGCCATCGATCGTCGCTAATGGCCTCGTCTAAATGCGAAGCCGCTGCCTCCGCCCCCCGGGTCAGGGCGCCCCCGCCCTCGCCCCGCGCTCCCTGCAAAATGGTGTTTACCAAAGTCAATATTGGCCCCGGCGCCCGCCCGGGGCAACCCGCAGCTCCGCTGGCCTCGCCCAGCCCAGGGCCGGAGCCTGGTGTCCCAATTGGCCCTGGCCCTGACCAGGAGTCTGAGGGCCAGGCACGCGCTGGTGTGGAAGGGTCACCTGCAGGGAGGAGGGGCGAGCGGTATGGCCTGAGACACCCTTTGGCCTCTCTCCTGGCCCCATCGGTGGGTGCCTCTGGGCCCCTTCCCCTTGGAGCCCTCTGGCCTGCCTGGCAGTAGAGGCCATGCAGGTTAGGTGCAGAGCGAAGAGGTGGACCCACAGGGGCATCTTAGCCAGAAGCTGCTCTAACAGGACCCGCACCATGACTCCCGCCTGGGTCCTTTTCAAGGCACAAGGACACAGCGCCGACTCCGGAAGTTTCTCCTGAATCCTGGCTCACCAACGAAGGGACCAAGGCCAAGCCTCAGCCCCTGGACTTGCTCACTCCTGAGCCCTGTGCCGCATCACGCTGTCCACTGGGGACCCCTGGCCAGATCTGCTCTCCCAGACAGGTGGGTGTCTGAACTGGGGGGTGTGGAGGACCACACAGCCAGACCGCCAGGCAGTGGGTGGTGTTTCTGAGAGGCTAGCCATGTGGCCACGCCCTGCCCTTGCCTTTCCGTGCTCCCGCCGGTGAAGCTGGCAACGAGGTGGCCTTGAAGCTCATTGCACAGTGAAACCACCCTTTTCTTTCTTGCATTGCGGATCTTCCGGTTGATAAAGAAAACGTAGCGATTCCAACTGTCTCTTCACTCCTCCTTCCCTCTCTGTTCTCATTATGGAAAGGAACTTCTAAAGGAGAGCCAGAGACCACTTTGGGGGGCTGCTTCCAGAGACCCTGCTCCTTGACTCACCCTGCCTGTCAGGGAGACCGGTGACCCAAGCCTGCCATCTGGTGGCCGCGGCTGTGGTGACAGCCCTGCTCCTAGAAAGGGGGTGGCTGGGAATTCTCATACCTAGTATCTGGGAAACAGGAACTCCTGGAATCCCGGAGGAGCACTCCCTCAGGACTGGGGGATTGCAGAGTCCTGGCATCTTGTGATCACAGTAACAGCACCTACTATTCTTCAACAGCTTTCTCTGTGCCAGTGCATTGTGGGAGCCATTTATGTGAACCGGCTCTGCACACCTGCGTGTGGCCACACCCTCTGTCCCCATCACACAAGTGAGGTTCTCCTTGAGCCGTTTGTCCAAAATCATGCGGGGTGAGCACTGGGGGGACTGTGAGCCCTCGCTCTCCTGACCCCAGACACATGCTGTCAATCATATACCTACCTTTAGAATCGCAGGATAATACAGCGTGAAACAAAGTTTACAGTCTTAGAATTGTAGGACACCAGACTCCTACAACTGGAGACACTTGAGCCTTAGGAGCCGTGGAATACTGGGAAGAGACTATCTCAGATTTTCAGACTTAAGAACCACGGATGGGGTGGGGGGCTGGGGAGGGTCTTTGGGGGTCTCTGGTTCTGCCCGTGGGCTCAGCCAGGGTAGGCACCTGGCTGGAGGTACAGGGCAGGGGGTGGGAAATGTGGGCTTCCTGTCTCCTGACCCAGGGTTCTTTCCCCTGTGGGTTTCTCAATCAAGGCTTTTCCAATCATACTCTTTTACAGCTGCTGCCATAAAGCTGTGGACTTTTGCTCCAGAAAGCACATAAAATATCCCATTATTTGCCTCTTAACCCGAGCTTCTGTTTTACATCTTAAGTCTAAAGTGTAAGCCTCATAAAAGGTAATCATCTAAGGCCTGTTCAAAGAGAAGTCATAAATTGGTCATTTAGCCCAATCAGTCTTTATTGTGCTCCTACGGGATCCCCAACCAGTCCAAGCCTGTGCCGCGTGGCGAGGAAGGGGGCGCAGAAGCCTCTGTCCCGTGTCCCACACGCGGAGCTGCCAGACTGCTCTGGGGAGGAGTGCAGGGATGCAGAGGCAACCCGGTGACCGACAAGTCACAGGAGGCCAGATAGCCTGGGGTGGGGGCCCCGGGCGGGCCAGGGCGGGCCGTGCAAACCAGAAAGTGGAGGAGGTGCTTTCTGCCTTGTATTTTTCTGCTGCTGGTTCTGAAGCCTTGCCTTGGCCCTGGGCCTGGGGTCAGCGGGCCATGTCCATTATCACACGGAGTCCCCTCCGTCCTCGGTCAGCTTGCATGGGCACACGGAGCTTTCCCCAGGATCGCCCAGCTAGCGGTGGGGAAGCAGGGATCTGCTTTCTCAGCCTTTGCTTTCAGCCATGGTGCAACACTGCTTTAGAGCTGGGCCTTTCGTGACCACAGTGGTTTACGGTGGGTGATGTGCCAGGTGTGCAGGGCTGGAGGGCAGGAAGAGAGAGGGCCTGGCTAGCGAATCGCAGCTCCTCCACACCCCGGCTCACCCCCGGCCCTTGCTCTGAGCTTCCTTGCCACCTGGTGGATGAAGCAGACAGACCCGGGGGCTGGAGTCAGGCTGTCCTAGGGTAAGCCTAGACCCACCTGCCCCCGGCAAGCCAGACTCCCTGGAATCATCAGTTCTCGTTCCAAAACTCCTCACCAGAGGGTCCTCCCTGCTGTCTCCTTCCCTCTCCCTAGCTCCCCAGTCTCCCCAAAGACTAGGAGGGTCCAGGGAAGGCCCTGGCTGCCCCTCCTGTGGAGTGTGTGCCTGGGAGATGCTGGTCACTCACGCCCTGAGAGTGTCTGCTGCGGGCTCCAGGGGGACTGGGAGACGCCTGCGCCTGGGACGAGGCCCTTGGTCACTCCCCTCACATCGGGAAGTTACCAGCCCCTGCTCGATTCCTTCTCCTGACTGTAGATCCTTCCCTCTTCACACCCCAGGCCCCAGGCTGTGTGACCCATGCCTAGGTTCGCGTGGAAGTCTCCTGCTCATTCCCCCTATCCTGCCCCTCAAACTAACGTGGTGGGCACTGCTCGGCGGAGACTCCCCGTTGCCCTCAGGATGCCATCGTGGCGCCTTTGTGGGGCTACCAGGCTACCCAGCATCTGTATCTGCTGCCTCTTGGGCTTTCCTTCATCCTCGTCTCTTTTATACCTGGGGCCGGGGCCTGGATTTGAATCCTCGCCTCCCCACTGCGGGCAGTGTGATCTTGCCCAGGTTACTCAGCCTGTTAATCTATAAACTGGGTGTGATGAGAAAACTTCCCAGACTTGTTGCGAAGATTCAATAACAAAACACTAACGTACTTACAACCTTGGCACCTCGTAAGCACCCAAGTTGCTGATCATTCGGGTCGAGTCGCAGTCGTGTGCATGAAGGCGCGCGCAGTCCCGAGTCGCTACTTCACAGCCTCCTGGAAGAGGCTGCTGCAGGATGGAGACAGATTCAAGAGGCACTGTGGGCCGGCCTGTGACTGCTGTGCCTGGCAGTGTGCGGCAGAAGTGACCCCGTGCCGGCCCTGGGTCTGCTTCTAAGAGAGCGGGTGGGGTTCCACTTTGATCTCCGGTGCCTTGGCCCACCCTGCAAGGAGTCTGCGGGAGAGGCCCTGACACACAGGCCCAGAGCGCCCAGGGCTCTGATCACGCCCCCCAGGATCCGGATGCCTTGCCCCACTGCTAGCTGAGAGCTACTGAGTGACCCCAGGTGACTTGTGTGCAGCCGATGACCCGGCCAGCCCAGCCCTGCCTGAATTCTTGACCCATTAAATCAAGGGGTCGTAATAAAATGATTACTGCTCTGAGCTACTGAGCTTTGGGGCAGTTTGTGCAGGGCAGGAGACAGTGGAAGCCATGACCAAGGGGTGGCTGGGCTCGCAGAGGAAGACTGCTACCAAGTGACACTTAAAAGTGTTTATCAGTGTATTATTAAACATCTAGGGGCCGGCGCTGTGGTGCAGCGGGTTAACACCCTGGCCCAAAGCACCGGCATCCCATATGGGCATCAGTTCGAGACTCGGCTGCTCCATTTCCGATCCAGCTTTCTGCTGTGGCCTGGGAAAGCAGTGAAGGATGGCCCTGGTCTTTGGGCCCCTGTACCCACATGGGAGACCCGGAGGAGGCTCCTGGCTCCTGGCTTCGGATCGGCACAGTCCCGACCATTGCGGCCAACTGGGGAGTGAGCCATCAGATGGAAGTCCTCTCTCTCTCTCTCTCTCTGCCTCTCCTCTCTCTGTGTAACTCTGACTTTCAAATAAATAAATAAATCTTTAAAAAATCTAATAATAAGAGATTGAAACAAAGTTTTAGAAAATATCTTAACATGTTATGAACTTAAATGAGCACATTGGTTTGCATAGCTTAAGCTGCAGTTACAAATGCTGCATTTTTGAATTCTCCAAATTTATGAAGCAAACAGATGAAACATATACAGAGTGGTTAAAATGGTCGGCTACGTTTCCACTTACAGCTATCCTGAAAGCCTGAGTTTCATGGTTTAATTCATTTTTTATTACCTCTATACTTAATGCTATATCTTACTAGGATTTTCTAAAATAAGATTTATTTATTTATTTATTTGAAAGGTAGAGGTAGAGAGAGTGAGAACGAGAGTGAAAGCGAGAGCGAGAGCGAGACAGGGAGTTACGGAGAGAATCTTCCACCCACTGGTTCACTCCTCAAATGGCCACAATGGCTGGGGCTGAGCCAGGCTGAAGCCAGGAGCCAGGAGCTTCTTTTAGGTCTCCCACATGGGTGCAGGGGCCCAGGCACCCAGGCCACCCTCCACTGCTCTTCCAAGCACATTAGCAGGGAGCTGGATCAGAAGTGGAGCAGTGGCGACTAGAACTGGCACCCATCTGGGATTCAGGCGCTAAAGGCAGCAGCTTTATCTGCTGCATCACAGAGCCAGTCACTCTTACTAGATATTTAGATATGGATTTTGATACCTGGCTAGGGTGCAATAACCTTCAAATTGAAAAATAATACGGACTCAGACCAGGATTTGGGTCACCAACTGTTTCTCTCTCCTTTTCTTTTCTTTTCTTTCTCTCTTTTAGATTTATGTATTTATTTGAAAGGCAGAGTGACAGAGAGAAAGAGGGAGAGACATATCGTCCCTCTCCTGGTTCACTCCCCAAATGACTGCAATGGCCAGGGCTGGGCCAGGCTGAAGCCAGGAGCCAGGTACTCCTCTCTCCCCCATGGGGGCAAGAGCCCAAGTACTTAGGCCACCTTTGGCTGCTTTGGCACATTAGCAGGAAGCTGGATTCGAAGTGGAGCAGTTGGACTCGAACCAGAACTCTTTCATGGGATGCCGGCTTTGCCAGCAGTGACTTCAGCCACTGCACCTCAACGCTGCCCCCCACCATTGATTCTTGACTGGGCATGGGGTGCAGTTGCTTCTCCCAGGAGTTTCAGGACAGAGCCAGTGGCTGACAGACCAGGCTGCCTTTTGGGGCTTAGTTCTCACTTGCTGCAATAGTCCAGTTTGTAAGTGCGGGTCTTTCACACCGTGTCCAGCAGTTGTGTTGCAACCTGCTTCTGTCTCCCCTAAAATGTTCTACAGTGCAAGTCTCACCCAGCCAGTGTTACATAACCCACTGTGCTGTCGCTGCGACATACGGATGGGGTCTGCGAGCAGTGTTTGAGACTTCAGATACTTCTTGTTTTCTTATCATTAGTGGGGTCATCTGGAGGTTTCATGAGAGGTGAGGGACTGGGCTGCCTGTTTTTCCTCCTCCCTAAAGCAGTCCGGTGATTCATCACTGAGAAGCCCCGGGAGGAATGCATGCCCTACTCGATTCCAGGGCCCAGGGCCTGCTGGGCCAGGTCCCCCGGGGCTCATCTTCCACCTGACTGCCCGCCGCCCGGCCCAGGCCTTTAGGTTCTCAACGTGCTTCTTACCTTTTCCATGACGTGGTGGCTTGCGCGTGGTTCCCTGTGGTTTTCCTGTCCCGTCTCCATAGCTAGAAACAGATACATGGCAGTGTTTTATGAAGACTGACATTCACTAGAAAAAATAAAATAGGCTGTGTAAACATTCCCGGGCTTATTGAAATAATAAAAGTGAATAGATCTTATTATGTTTACCTTCTAATTACAGCCACCTTTTTGTCTGCTCCGTGTTCACTTTCCAGGGGAGTGTCATGGAGGCACAGCTTCGCGGGAACTTGCCTCCTCCTTATGAGCCAGGTGGTTCCTCCCCTGCCTCTCTGCTTTGTCCCCGTGATCACAGCTTGGCTGGTGGAAGGCACTAAGGCACCTCACGCTGGCCGCTTTGGAAACACGCGGCCCTGGCAACCGCTAGAGAACCCTGCTTTCTGGCAGCAGCCGCGCTCACCCTCTGCTTTGCTCTCCGAGGCGCAGGCGCACCGCCCTCCCACCAGATTCCTGTTCTTTTCTGCAGAAAATGGCATGGTAGCCAGGCCTGGGTGCTGGGAGAGAAAATCTGGCCCTGCTGCCCTGGCCCAGCTCTTCCGCAGGGTCTCCTGCTGTGCTGCCCAGAGGTGGCCGCTCTGCCAGGATGCACAGCTCTTACCCGTGTAGGCGGAGCCATGGGTGCCGCCCCCCCCCACCGCTCACTCCCAACGTTCCTCAAGGATAGAAGCGTGGGGAGCCCCCCCCCATTTGTTTGATGGAAACTATCGGGAACGATGGAAGAGTAATCAGTCGAGGATAATATAGCTATACTCTCTGTGCTTTCTCTTGCAGCCCTGGTGGGTGAGTCCATTCTAAGATCACTTTTAAAGCATTCCCTGCCTACCTCCCAGTCCACCTCTACAGAGAGCCTGGGTCCCGCCCGACTCGCCCCTGCCCCTGCCCAGACTCCCCCCAGCATGTCTATGTCAGAAATTTGCACTAGTTCCCTAAGGGTGGATAAGAATGAGTTTGCTCTCATTCCCAGTCTGGTGGACACTGGTCCACTCTCCCCGGTGTTAGGACCGACGGCTGGCCTGGATGATTGACACTAGAAATGCCCACCTGCTTGTCCTCAGGATGGGGCCCCAAGACAATGGATATCAACAATTGAACTCCAGTCGGCACATTTCCCAAGTCCAAGCTACTTAGGCCTAGGTGACATGGGAGGGACATGCACACTCAAGCTCCGGGTGAACTGTGTCCCATGCAGCCCTGCCATTTGCTACCACTAGTCCTCTAGGTATTGTGTCTGGATAGCTTTCTACCTTCTCAGCTTAGACTATTTGGTGAACTACTGTTAAATAACACACACACACACACACACACACACACACGAGCAGGATGGCATTTAACACAGCCAGAGCAAAGAATAGCATGTTTTGTGTCCTTTCACTTTTAAGGGGGTAATAAAAATCTATAGAAATACATCACTGAACACAACCACATGTGATAATTTACATGTGCTAATATCTACTTCAACTCTGTAGATGTTCCCAGAAGGGGACTGGAGGGCACTTGCTGTATGCGATGCCACCAAGTGGCCTGTTCTGTGGTTGCCCGAGACAAGTGGATATTTTGCTCCCAGGGGCAGAAGTCACACATAGTTTGCTCTTTTTTTAAAAAAAAAAATTCTTTTTCACTTGTTTTAAAACTGGGATACACTCTCATGACTTCAGAGAAGTTTTAAAGGACGCACCATATATTGAAAAGCCCCGTTGCCCACCGCTGTGTCCTGCCGCCCAGCCGCTGCCCCCAGAGGATCCAAGGCCACCGGCATCTTGTGCCCCTTTGCTGAGCTTTTTTATGCACTGTCGGATGCATGTGCACATGTGGTCTCCCCCACTCGTTTTAAGAAACCTAAGTGAAAGCACACCACATGTGCTGTGCAGCGCACGTGTTCCCGCGCCTAGCGCAGCGAGAGGATCGCTCCCGCGCACCTCGTGAGCAGTTGCAGGTGTGGCGCTGGTGAGGGTTTCTTAGCGTATGTGCCTCTCTGCCGTTGACCGACGCTAATGCTCCACCATTACAGACAACGCAACCACCGGGAAGTCTTACGTGGCCATCACTGCACACAGGTGCTCTCTGCAAGGGTGAATTCCTGGCCCTGGGGCTGCTGGGACACCGTGTGTGCACATGGGTTTGATGTTGCAGAATTGCCGTCCAGGGGACACTTCTGAGGGCGTGTGAGGCAGGTGGCCTCTACAAATCCTTGCCGATAGGGCACAGTACTGAAGTTTTTCATCACAGCCAGCCTGGTCGGTGCAACATAGATCCGACTGAGGTCTTAATTTGCCTTTCTGTTGTAATCATATGCGTCTTTCTGGATAGTTCAGAGCTGCTTGTGTTTCTGCAAATGGTGTGTTTTAAATCCTTTGTCTATCTGGGGAGGTGGGGGTAAGATGTGGATCTTTTTAATTGATTTTCAGAGTTTACCTTTTGAAGGAAATTTACTTTGCCTGTGTTATGAGTTGAAAGTATTTTTTCCCAGTTCATAATCTGCTCTTCAACTCCCTTATAAATAGTTTTTGCATGTTTGCTTTTCCATATGAACTTTAGCAAGACTTTGTGAAGTTCCAAAAAAAATTCTGCTGATACTTTTATTGAGTGTTTTTCCCACTGAAGAAAATTTATAGTCTTTTATAGTCAAATTTATCAGCTCCCTCCCCCACCCCCCGTGTGCCGTCTCAGTTTTGTTGTGTTTAGAAAGGTCACCTTTTCTCTGAAGTTATGAAATCCTTCCCTGTGCTTCTTGCGAGCGTTCTCGCACTCAAGTCTTTGATCCTTTTGGAACTTGTCCTGTGGTAAGATGTGAGGATGTACTCGGCTTTAATTGGCTGCAGGGACTGCTTGCTGTTTCCATGCTGTTTATTGAGAGCTTCATCCCCCCCCCGCCCCACCCCTTTCTCGATGCCACCTTCAGGATACACACATCCTAGCTGGCAGTTTAGACTCTTGCTGGATTTTTCCCTCCGTCCTGGTGCTCTGTTTGTGTGCCAGCGCCATATTGTTTTAATAAATGTGGCTTTAGAAATGTTGTTTTAACTATACGGTTGGCCATCCCTCGTTACTCTTCCTTTTTAGACTTTTCTGGAATAGTATTGCATACTTACATTGCCATATAAACTTTAGAACGGACTTACTCAGTTCAAAAAAAAAAAAAACCACTGTTGATCTTTCCATTGGGATTGCATTAAATTTTATATTAACCCAGAGGGAATCGACATCTTTATGACGCTGTGTCTTCCCCTTCGGGATCATTCCCCTTTGTTCCAGTATGTTTTTATGTCTCTCAGGAGTGCTTTAAAGTTTTCTTCACATAGATCATGCGCATTTCTGGTTATTATTCCTTAATATTTTGCCTTTATTGTTGTTATTGTAAGTTTTGTTCCTGTCATGCTGTAGGCTCTGAACAAATGATATGTGTATATATTCGAGCTACTTATTTTCTATCCAGTTGAGTTACTACTCTCAGTCTCTTGGTTGATTCTCATCTCTTCGTTTTTTTGGGTTTTCTGGTCTACCTTACTGCATTGGCTAGGACTGGAGCCAACTGGACTGGTGCTGGAGATCCGGAGGTGAACCAGGTATTATTTCTGTTCCCAGGGAATCTCAGTCTAGTGGGGAGATAGTTCCAGAAGCAGATTGTCTGAACACGCTGTGCCGGGTAAGACGAGAGAGCAGAGTGAGTCCTGGTTCCAGGGCTGCCCAAGGTCCAGATGCTGAGGTTTCCGCTGGAGGGTCCGGGAAGTGGCCTCCTGCCCCCAAATCCGCACCGACACCTGCATTCCCTCCTGTGAGCTGAAGGGGGCGCTCCTCCCTGTGCCACCGCAGCCCCTCCTGCCCACCTGGGACCATTCGTTGTTCAGCCTCACTCTTGCCACCTCGCCCGCTCAGCTGGCTCCTTCACAGCACGCTCCCTCCTCACCCATCCTTAAACACCAAGAAACCCTCACACGCCAGCTAGAACTGCGATCTCCTGTAGTGCCGCTCTCCCCTGCCCTGGACAACTGGGTGTTCTCCTCTCAATCCAAAGGTCAGCAGTGACCTTAGGAGGCTCCTTCTACTAAGCACCAGGTCCCTCGTGGGAATGCCCTTCCTGACCCCACTGCCTGCTGACCTCCTGCTCGTGTCTGAGGACCCAGCTTGCAGGTCACTTCCTCCGTGAAGCCCTCCCGGACGTTCTGGACCTTGTGAGCCCCTTCTGCTCTGGAAGCCCCCTGGCTATCAGCCGAGTGTGGTGAATGACGTTGTCTCCCTGCAGAAGGAAGGCCTTGGGGCACAGCTGTCGACTCTCGCAGCTCCAGAACACATGTCTGACGAGCGGAATGATCTGATGTGTGTTTTTCTTTTTAAGATTTATTTATTTATTTGAAAGTCAGAGTTACATAGAGAGAGGAGAGGCAGAGAGAGAGAGAGGTCTTCCATCTGCTGGTTCACTCCCTAATTGGCCATAACGGCCAGAGCTGCGCCGATCTGAAGCCAGGAGCCAGGAGCTTCTTCCAGGTCTCCCATGCAGGTGCAGGGGCTCAGGGACTTGGGGCCATTTTCTACTGCTTTTCTAGGCCATAGCAGAGAGCTGGATCAGAAGTGGCGCATCTGGGACTTGAACCGGCACCCATGTGGGATGCCGGCACTGCAGGCGGTGGCTTTACCCTCTAGGCCACAGCGCCGGCCCCCGGAATGATCTGTTTAATACTCACAGTAATTCTGCAAGGCACAGATGAGGAAACTAAGGCTCAACACAGGTTGTCACTCAAAGTCCCAGGGTGAATCAGTGGGGAAGACACTTGGGTAAAGTCCAAGTTCAGGTCCAAGTCATGTCTCATCTGCTCTCTGTCAGGACAGAGATGCTGAGCTTGGAGCAGACAGGTGTGGCGTCTCAGCTGGGAACTTTCCAGAGGGTGCCCTTTAACAAACCGCTCCACCCTCACGTGTTCCGTCCTTTCTCTGTAAAATGGGCACAGTCACGCCCTCTTCCCGCTGGGGCTGCTGTGCAGAGCCAATGAGCATCCGTGCAGGCTCCTGGCAGAGAAGGACTCAGAGTCAGCCAGTGTTTAACTAAGTCCCCCACCGTGTGCCCGGGGCTGTAATTACCCAACCTCAACCCAAGGGATTGCTCTGTGAGTGTCAAGGTGGCGGAGGGGCTGGGGGCCGTCTGCAGCGGCAGCCCTCACGCTCTCGCCCCTCTCAGCAGCCCGCGATGCTCTGTGGCGGGCACGGGGGCTGAGACGGGATCCCTGCTGCAGCACCCAGCTACATTCCCAAGCACCTGCAGATGCTGGCTGAGCCTCCGGGCCAGGGGCACACACTCGGGCCTCTCGCCCTTGGATCTCAGAGGCTGCAGCCGGCCGTGGGCTCTCTGCGGAGAGGAGATGGTGCAGAGACAGCCCTGATGAAGAGTTTTACCGAATGTTCAAGGAACCATTTTAATTCAGAATTGTCCTTGATGTGCCTCAAATTTCCTTCAGAGTATTCTAGAAAGTTTTACATTTATTCCGATATTGAATTGTAAATAGAAATCAAACACAGTCTAATGATGCCAAGAACTGGAAAAGAGA